TGTAAGGGAGGTAAATTTTTTGGTGGGAGAAGACGATACTTGTTTAATGAAAGTGCCATTTTCGTAAAGCTGTTTGAAAATTGAGAAAATTACAAAAATAGAGGTTTTTTTTTATTATAAAAATTACACACTCTTGACTTTAAAATAGAAATGTAACCATAAAATTTACCCTTACAATTAATTAATAAACTAATAATTGGTATTACTATTGCTGGTTTTGTTGTTTTTTTGTTGTTGTTTGTTGCTGCTGTTGCTGCTGTTAGAAGTTGGACTGTCATTAACGGCCTTTTCTATATAACAATATAACGGTAATGCCCCATTGGTTGTTTAACATATAATGCAGATCAAATATAGCCATCCAATCAAATCATCGAAGAAATTGCACAATGAAAAAATGAGTGTTGGCAACGTAAAATTTTAATTTAGTAATAATTGTCTTGACTAACATATGGCTAAATAATTAGTCAGATTAACCAAATGCTCATTTGGGTTGCGTGGCCAATCCTAGTTGTGATATACTTGTATAATTCCCTTTTATTTAAATATGATATGATCAGAATTAAATGCTTTAAACTATGATTATCCATAATACTTAGGTTTTACAATTATTGGATTTATTATTTCACAAAAATTATATTTCCGTGTGTGGGCTTTTTTATTATTATTTATTGGATTACATGATCTATCATTAGTGATGGGCTCTAGTGGGAAATTCAAATTTTTTCTTATAATCATCATCATTATTATTAATAACAACACCATCATTTATTTTGCTAAGATATTTTTATTTGAAAAATATCTCGAATATTATTATTATGTGTTAATTAATGTGAATATTCGAATATGAATAGGAACACTGCTCTTTTTCTACAAAAGCATCTACAACATAGACATTTTCCATCAGGGTTGACAATTCAAAAGATCCATTTGACCCGGTTCAGCATTTACCATTTCTTCCTCTTATTCCCTGTTGATATTTTAGCAAACGAAGCATCCCCACATAATTTCAGTTCTAAATATACAAGCTGATGTTAGTGATAAATGCCTTCAAAGTTATATTAATAATAAACACTAGCATACCGAGTGTTTCATTTTTCAGCCATCTCTCCCATTAATGCTCTCCTTTGTTATTCCAAATAGCTTAACAATATCATATACTTTGACCATAAATCTATGAGGTCTCCCGACAACTCGTTTCACTAACTAAGCTGACTACTCGGCTAATAAATGGCTTAACAGACTTAAACAAATTAGCCGGCTAGCCTGCCAACATCGTCACAAGATATATGTCATTTCTTAATATTAACGGATAATGATAGTGACATGGTATATGGTCATGACAAGAAAACAAAAAAATACTGATAGAAGACGACCTGTCGGGAAATCGGTGCCGAGAAAGTGGCCGCAATCCCATATTAATATACATAACGTCAAAAAACACAAAAAATGAAATTGACTTTTTTCAATAAACCTTTTTCTCCAGAATTAAAACGAACATAACATTATTATTTTATTATTCAACAAATATGAAATTTTACTATCACCAGAATTGTTGTTAATACACTGCCTGGAAGAAAGTATCCGAACCTTGCTTTTTGTTAATTCCGCAAACTTTTACATAATAAAATTTTTTTTTGAAAATATCATCATGTAGCTTAGGTTCTAACGAATGTGTACGCAATATTTCACAATTCTGATATTTATACTAATTTTTTAACCAAAAAAATACGAACTTCAATTAAATTTGTGATTTTCATCCTCGAATTTTCTCAAAATTTTACATAACTCGATTAAATCAAATAAAATTTTTAAAAATGCCAAAAAATTCCGAATTAACTGAAGCTGAGCGTGGAAAATTTTTGGGTCTTAGACTAGGTGGTAGTAGTCTTAATAAAATTGTAAAGATACTTAAGCTTCCAAAAACTACAGTTTATGATACCATTAAACATTATGAAAATGCTGAAAACCATCCCAAGGATTCTCGAGAATTAAAGATTGCTTTGCAAGAGGAGTGGTCTAATATTCCTGAAGAAGTTTATAATAAACTGATTGAAAGTATGCCAAGGAGAATTGAGGCATGCATATCTAATAATGGATGGTCCATAGAATATTAAATTTTTTATTAGGTGATGTTTTAATAAAATTTTGGTTTTTAGAAGATTTTTGATCATTTTTTATATTAATTGAAGTTCGTTTTTTTTTTGGTTAAAAAATTATTGCGTACACATTCGTTAGAACCTAAGCTACATGGTGATATTTTCAAATTTTTTTTTTATTATGTAAAAGTTTGTGGAATTAATAAAAAACGAGGTTCAGATACTTTCTTCCAGGCAGTGTATGTTTTAATAAGACAATTGCACTCCTAGGCCCTTTACCAAAATTTTTCAAGAATAGGTAATGAATGACTTGCTTCAAAACGTTCTGGGAATGCTCTTTTTTCCGATAACCATGAGTGGGAAAATGATTTAAAGTTCTTTAATATCTAGTATGTAAAGAAGGTTCCCATCATTGTCATTTTTCATCTGATGACATTCAATAATACTTGATAAGCTCCAATTGTCATTTTTTTAAAAATCAAAGCATTCTTGGTCGATAACGACTAGTGATTGCATTCATGAAATTCATGAATCTCGCGAGTGCAATTAATGTCATTAACTTTTCAAATTGTGCAATCACAAATTATTGTTGATCCTTTAAAGGAAATAGACTTAATATTAATATATAATAATAATAATGTCCTTCAAATTTTTTAGAATGTATAATATTTATCTGAAATTGAATAACATCCTTCATGTAAATTATAATATTATTATTATATTAAAATTTTGATTTAATGACTATTTAATGGTGGTAAATCGAAAACAATTGGGTGGTTTTTTACTTTATAACGCTTATCTAAAATAGAAGCATTTATAAAAATAGTTGAATTCTTATTATTAATATAATTATAATCATTTTGACCATTATTATTTTTATTATCATTATCATTACTAGTAGAAGGATCATTTGGTTCCCAGAATTTTTGAAAAACTCCATAAGATTCATGAATATGACCGAAAAGATGAATCAATGGTTTTACTTCTTCAACTCGTTGATAAAGATCTTCACACCCAACATTTTCAGTGCCATCGACAAGATCAAGTATATTGGATGGTGGTCCATGCGTCATAAGTATATCTGTTGTTTCTGGTATTCTTGACCATATTTCTTAAATCAAATTGTTAATAAATTATTATCATTATCATTACTATTTTATATATATTTATATTAATTATTGTGTTTACCTTTTAAAAATTCTCCACGCTCACCATTAAACCCCCAATCACAAAACCATGGAGTCCATGGACTTCCATACACTTTATATCCAATTTCAGGAATTACATATGAACTTTCTTGTAAATAAACAAATCCATTACCTACTTTGCTTATTATGCCAATTGCTTTATCGTGATTATCTTTAACAGTATGGAATTCTGACCAATTTGTTTCATAAAATTCCTTATGCAATCTTTTATTAATAAGTAATTAATTAATTAAGTTGGTTGGTTGGTTGGTTAGTGATTAGGAAAAAAATAATCTATTCTTATTATTATTGGAGAAATTGTTACTTACATTAGATCATGATTACCAGCAATGACAATTTTATGTCTAATGATTTTCTTAATTAAGGTTAATATTTATTTGAAATTTTTCTATTTAGGGAAAAAAAAGATATTTACCTATGTGGAAGATCTTTCAACCAATTGACAGCTTGTTCTAGTTGATCCACAGTCCCTACTTTGGTCAAATCACCTGAATGAACTTTACACACACACGAATTAATGAACCAATCGTAATTATCAATATTATATATAACAATCATTATTATTATTAGAAAATAATATACACATACGTAAAACATCGCCTTCAGGTACTGTAAAATTCCTAGAGTTGACCATATTATGAGTATCACTAACACATACAAATCGTATCCAATCTGGTGCTGGTTTATCTGGGATTTCTGTTCTAGAATGGTATACATTGCTAACATTGTTAATATTTGATCTTGTTATAATTTTAGATCTAATCATATTTAAATAATGATAATAATGACAATAATAATAACAAAGGATGATATCATTATTATTGTCGTTGTTTCTGCGCCATCACGCCAATTTAGACCGAGCCAACCATATTAATTGCCGATCCTTTTATAAACGGCAGAAAAATACTATTAAAATTTTGGGTAAAAATTTGACGATCTACTATGTT